TTTTCTGACTCATTTAACTTTTCTAATTTTTCTAACTCTTCTAAATTTTCTAAAGTAGTTTGTATCAATTTTTCTGACTCATTTAACTTTTCAAATTTTTCTAACTCTTCTAACTTTTCTAAAGTAGTTTGTATAAATTGTTTAATTTCCTTTACATTTAAATATGTGTCATTTATACAATGCTCTCTATCTTGTAAATAATTTTTCCAACTTTCATTTTGAGATAATCTTTGAATTGACAATGAATTATTGTTAATGTTTATAATATAATCAGAGATAATATTACTGGGGTCAATTGATCGATAATTTTGATACATGGTAGAATAAGTAGTATGTAAAATATGAGTATTTTGAAGTTTATCAAATTTGTAAGTGTGAGGATTCAGGATATAAGAACTATAAATCTCAGTATTTAATTGTGGGCCAGATAAAAATAAATGTTCTTCTCTTGATCCAATAAAACAAAATTTATGAAGATTCTCTTTAAATTCTTCTAAAGTGATAAATAAAATTAATAGTAAATTTATATTTTTAATTATTTAATGCATGAAACACATACCTTTTGCTAGCACTATACCAGAATTTGTTGAATAAATGTAGACCATATTTTCTCCACTCTCCAAAAAGCCTGCTACTGCAAGCAATGTATCGGAACTGTTTAGTTTCATTTCTAATAAATTCCTAACTCCATATAAATCCCAATTTAGAGTATACTGTTTCTTAAACTCTAAAGTCATTAAATTCCATTGCATTATTACAAAGGGTATTTCGAAAAGCATCAATAGCATTCCATTCGGGAAAATAGAGGCCCTGAAATATTTTTTAAGTTCAATGCAATTTTTGCATATCCATTGATGTGTGACATTAGACTTAGAAAAGATATAGGCCCGGAAAACTGGATCTCCTTTGATAACTGCAAGATCTCCATTTTCAAGAAAAGAAATATTTGATGTCTCTCCTTTCAAACCTTGGGCATTCAATACACATCTTGACTGAGTTGGGATGTCAATAATTTCTGTTAAAGTAGATTAATGTAAATATACAATAAATAGAAACTCAACGATTTTAATTAATTTTAACTAACCAAAATCGTAAGGGTCATATCTATATTTTAATTTTAGTATGACTTGTTTACAATCTGAGACTCCCATGATTGCATTATAGTACTGTATATCGGTGTCCAAAATTTCAAGTTCAGTGATGTTTATTGATTTGTCAAACTCAGAAGTGAGTTCTTTTGTGATGTTCCATCCAGAAATTGTTTGATTTTCATAATTCCAAATCGCAACATATTGACCATTTAGTGAAATAACATATTGACCGATGGCATTTTCTTCATTGAAATCAACACCTTTTTCTCCATCAATCAAAATATTAACTTGGTCATGACTTTCAATTAGTTTCCCTTCAGATCTTGATGAACTCATTTTAGGTATGGATAAGAATCGAACTATAATGAAAAAGTGATTGTAATATTGTACTTATTTATATAATATTCTGAAGTGGAAATATATATTGATATGATAAATATCTCTAGCAAAACTACAGTAAGTTGCTTAGCAACTTTCCTAAATTGATATTATTGAGGCTTGATCTTTTATCACAGGTTCTTGTTTGTTTATTGCATTGGAATAATTATTTATTACGTAAGGCTAGTGTTGTTAGGCGAAACTATTTTTGGTAAATGGCGAAAGTCGAAACTAAACCCGGCGAAAGTCGAAACTGGCGA